ATTTTCTAAACCCTAAAATACAATCATCAAATATTCAATTTTTTCAGTTATATACACGGTTTGTCAAAAAATAATAATTGTGGATATTGTTAACTCTTACATAAAATTCATATTTTTTTTACAAATCTCATATGACTAAAAAAATTGAATATCTAATCATTACAATCTAGGTATTAGATCATTCAGAACTTTTTATAAACGTTAATCTTTTTTTCATAAAACTAAAAATAAAAAAAGTTTTCCATATGATGCCGACTTAATTGAACACAGTGTATACATGTACATAAGCTTCAGTATTCTAAAATGTGTGGTCAATGGCATAACTATTTTGTGTTTTGTTTACAAACAATATGTGATATTATTTCGAAAATAAAACTGTTTTGTAATTTTGTTCTTTTATTATATTCCTACAAACACTAATTTTTTGTTAGTTTGTTCTGAGTTTTATTTTATTAACTTAATCATAAGACGTGGTACAAATGATTCTATATTATATCTATAACGGTGTAGTTAGTTACTACTAACTACACCATTTTGAAATCCACTGTATTGAACAATTGATCGGATACTCGTTGGACATTCGACAGCCTAACTGTAATTACCATCTTCAGTCACAAAGTTGATCTCAGGCAATGTTTTGAAGAAATCATTGAAACGGAACGAGATACTCAAACCGTTTAACAAGCTTCGGGCTTACTTATGTTATTGAAAACGAAATGTTTTTATACTTGCTAAATTTCTTAAATAACATGCCGCACGTTGAGATTCTTTGTAATCAACTGCAAATATGAGCTGTAGACCCTGCAAGAATTTAAATATTTATAAAAAATTTTAAAAATCAAATTTAAATTATCAGAGATAAGATAATAATTGACAATAGTCCAAGCTTTTCGACTGGAAAAAGGAAACGAACCCAGAAAAATAACACGGCGAAGGAAATTTGTGGTCTAATAAGGGTCACTATTGAGGATCGCCTTTCATTCACGGCCCATTTAACTCGTGCGGCACTATTCGATCCCAAATGATTTCCTGGATACAGTATTACTTTTCCAAAGAAAACTGAAGATTGCTTTGCACATTATCCATTTGTAGATGCTACCAAATTAAAATCCGAGTAATGTGTACTATTTGCTAGGACTGACTTTGGAACGGGGAATGGTCTGGTGCCATTGCTTGAGGTCTTTGTTGAAAACAATCTTACAAATTTGTTTTCATTCAGAGTCCATAAAATTTAATTAACATTGAATGCACAACTCCTATGACAACAGTTGAAGCAGAGAAATCCTTTTCAACTCTTAAAGATGATAAAAACATTTCTCCTAAATACGATGTAACAATTAATTTCCAATTGATTAAAAACAATTAATATCTTATTTCTCTTCTTCTTCAGATGCAAATCCACTAATGGATGTTAGCGATCACATTTTCCATTAATTCTCTATTTCTTGCAATATGTATCAGAGATTGTATGTCGTTAATCCCTGTCCATTGCCTTATGTTTCGAAGCCAGGACATTTTCTTGCGTCCCATTCCTCTCTTGCCTTCAATTTTACCCTCGATTATAAGTTGGAGGAACTGATATTTTTCATTTCGCATGATGTGACCTAGATACGCCGTTTTCCTTTTCTTGATGGTTTCGAATAGTTGGCGTTCTTGGTTTATTCTTCTAAGGACATCTATATTTGTGATTTTCGCTGTCCATGGTATTTTTAGGATACGGCGATAAAGCCACATTTCGAAAGCTTCTAATCTGTTTATATCCCTCGTTTTGAGTGTCCAGCCCTCTACGCCATATAGCAGCACTGACCATACGTAGCACTTAGTAAACCTTAGTCTCAGTTGAAGATCAAACTCTGAACAAGTCAGTACTTTCTTGAATTTTACGAATGCTTGTCGAGCTTGCTGAATGCGACATTTTACTTCCCTGCCCGATGCCCAGTCTTCAAAAAGCCACGATCCCAGGTATTTAAATTTACTCACTCTTTCAATGGACTTAGTATTTAGTGTTATGGTGGAGTTTTCAAGTGCATCTAAGTTTCTGGAGATGATCATAAATTTGGTCTTTTTGATACTTATAATATCTATGAATATCTTACTGCCACAAATTTGATGAACTCGTCAGTGGCCATTTTGCAAGCTAGAAATTACGTCTCATTGTATTTAATTGTAAATCCTGCGTCTAAAATACAATATTGCTTATTATAAACTGTTTAGGATATAAGACAAGTTGTTATATTGGAGTGATGATGTACTAGGAAGTATAGTGGACTTATATCTACTAATACATCAGGACTATTCACTAGAATCCTCTGGTACATGGGTAAGTTTGCTGTGAAAATGTAGCTAGTTGTAACTATTTTAGCTTTTAGAATAAAAACAAACAATAAACAAAAATGAAGGATCATTATAATAACATAAATTATTTAAAAACAAGAGAAGAGAATAATTGATAGAAAATTGGGGAAATGTAAAATAAGGTAGCTAGGAATCGTGAAGGTCCAGTAAAATTTAATTGCTACTAAAAAATTGATTAAAGGTCATCTGAATAAATTAGCTAACAAAATGATGAGGTAAAAACCATGGAAATCGCATCGATCCAGAAATTTTGAGAGCAATATGGGAAGATTTACAAAAAATACTTTCTTTTATTTTATGCAAAGTCTTAGAATCTATTTATCACCTTTATATAATGGGCAAAACCGCCGTTCACTGCAACCAAACAATAACATAGACTTCAAAAAAGCCACTTGGAATCGAAGTACTTTGTTTACCTACTCAATTATCCCTACCTCCTGCTAGCTCAGTGGAATGGGATGGTTTCCTTCTCCGCTTAGGAAGAATCTAACTACTAGTATCGTAACAACAACAACAACCTAAGATCATACGCTTACAAGAAACCGATTAAAAAATATGCAAGCTTCCTAGACTAAAAAACTTTGAAGAATATTATTATATTCAAAGGAATTGCTTCTACCTATTAGGCACTAGTACACATTTGAATTTTTCTTTTATAGATCTCTGCTTTAGTGACCTTAAAACAACTATTTGACTATTTTGGAAAACCTTGGATAACCAAACTATATTCAGAAACTACCGGCGATTAACAAATGCTAATTGGATAGGTTACACATCCCAAACAGATCCACCTTACCTCCTCTATCTGACAATATAAGCATCACCTATCATCATCACATAAGCAAAAATACATTTTCACATAAACAAAATACAGTGCCTTAGGAATACATCCTGTCAATCTGCTGTAGAACAACAAAAATTGGCTCTTAAAAAATACTGAGGAAACAAAAATCTGGAGAATCTCATTGAATTAAAAAAACTAGAACCAACTCCCGGTTTATTATAAAACAAAAAAGTCCTCTTGCAGAGACTATGTATCCCCATCAATGCAATCCTAAATCAGTAGCACCTTAGAGTTAGATTATATGCACTGGGAAAACAGAGGACTGAAAAAGTAAATGCTTCTTCAAAAAGGCCTCAACTAACTCATCATCATTAGCCATTTTGCGTCCACTGCTGAACATAGGCCTCCCGTAAATAATTCCATTGCATCCGATCTTGAGCAACTTGAATCCAGTTAGACTGGATGCGCTTTAAATCGTCCGACCACCTTGTTGGAGGACGTCCTCGACTACAATAAGCATCGTGTCTAGGCCTCCACTCTAAAATTTTCTTAGTCCATCTTCCATCTCTGACCCTAGCAACATGTCCTGCCCAGTTCCATTTCAGGGTTGTAATTCTTTCAACTGCGTCCGTCACACCAGTTTTTCTCCTTACTATCTGACTCGAAACTCGAAGTAACTAAATATATCTTATTCTATCTTGAACTTTGTGTAAAAAAACATTAATTGCTTTGTTAATATACCTACATTATAATGTAGGTATATTAAAAAGCAATTAATGTTTTTTTACAATATATTGTAATCTATAATACAAATAATAAATATACTAATTCAGCCAACAACAATTCTTTATTTCTTCTTTTTCTTAAAATTTATTTACTAAATTGTGTTGTAAAATGAATTTTAAAAAAGCTGAAAAGCTGCTTGATGAAAGCTTTGAAACTTGAGTCGCGATCTGTCTGTCGAATTACAAAATTGAGTTTCTGTCATTGCTTTGAGTTTTGAATTTAGGTTTCAATCATGTTTGTGGAAAATTAAAGAATAATTGGAGGGATATACTCTTCATTCCTTGTTAATGTAATCATGCACAAGAACTTTCAGTTGTTAAGTTCCTAAAAGGCGTTCAATCCTTGTAGATCTAAGTGTAATATTAAACCCGCGGAATATGATCCTTTTTTTATATAAAACAATCGTTTTGATTGCATATAAGTTTAAGTTGATACAGAAGTCCCAAAATCCATGATTCCATTATAAAAATCATAAATAAAGCTAATATAAGCGAGATCTTTCAAATTTTCTTATATTCAGTTAAGTTTAAATTTCAAATTCTTGGCGCAAATAGCGCCACCTAACCGGCGTCCATTATGTTCGGTTTTAAAAGACGATCTCTAGGCACTGATGCCACTTCTCATGATTTATCTTGATCTCTCACGTTTGACGTAATATCAAATAAATTAATTTTTAAAATTTTTAAGATGTTGCTAAATCTCAAGATGAACTATATGTGTATGAGACATGAATCAAATCGGCAATTTCATATAATAATGACTTTTTATCTTCAATAACCTTGAAATCCAGCAAGTGCCGATAAAATGTTATATCTCTAGAAAACAAAATTAGCTTTATGTGTACCGATTATACTGTTTTGTCTAATTATTTATCATTTAAAAGTCCCCACTCTCTTCAGAATTTAACTGTAGTGTATGTCACGATTTCTAATGATTTAATTTCTCTCGATTCGATCTCATGATTTCTCTTTGACTTCATGTGGCATCACTGCCTCGAGTTTAGTTAAAGGAGACCAATAGGAGAACAACGAATATATATTCGGCTATATTCGTTTTCGTTGGTAGAACTGTGTAGGAGTAGTTAAACCAGTAATTAAACGGTCAACGGTTTTATTGTTTTCAGTTTGTACATGATTTGCACTTTTGCAATTAAAAATTTTGAAAATAAGTAATAGTGTATACAAATCGAAAAAAAAAAAAATGTCAGACGAGGAATCGAATCAGTTTGAAAGTTCCGACAAGAAAAATAAACCAGTTAGTAAACTGTTTCAAGCATCTGAAATCCAAACCGACACAACTGCATCTTTACCCGCCGAAAGTTCTGTAAGAATTACTTTATTAATCTCATAATAAACCCCATTCTTTATATTTACTGCAAGATACGATTTTTAGCACAGGAAGTTATGCTCAATTCCAATATTTATTTTCTGATATATATTTTTGTATCATAACATAAAATTTACCTACTTTAGTTTTAAGATGGAACACCTTGTCTTCCGTAATTGTAGGGGTACTTCGTCAACATATTGTAGCCTCAAAATACCTTACGAATTGAAAACATCTTAGATGAACAAGTACTTATTTTTTATTCGTAATACCCAGTTCATAGTAAGCCTTTAGTGTCGACCATGAATTTATATAGCTTATTATAGGCAGACCATAATTTGATTATTCTTCGTATATAGAAATCGTTGTCTACCCTGTCGTTCATATATTATAAGCCCTACAGTTTTTGGATTTAATATCAAAAGAATGTTATTTTTATCACCAAATGTTTCATCATCCAAATAAAAAATTAATGTTATGATATTTTATCAATTCAGTTGGATCTCCTGTATTTATTCATTTTATTATTCTGTGGATTATTATCTCAAATCTTTTGTGCTATGCCAGCATAGAAATAGAGACATATTTAGACAGGAGTGCTGAGATATATGGATTTAAAATTTTTTATGATGGATGAGGATATTTTTAGGTTTGGTTAGACATGGTTCTTTGAACTACATTATATAAAGGGCAAAAGCTAACAAAAAGCAACCTGTATTAAGTTTTTGTAATACAGGAGAAGCAGTGTCTCAATTGTAAGACAAGAAAGGTAGGTAAGAGTTATTGTAATTTAGTGTTTCTTACCTATTTCCACTCATATTTTCCCCATTCCTTTGTGAATTGTTTCTTTTCATTTGATGTGTGTTTAAACCATATAACCAAAGCTTTTTTGTTTGCATTCTAACATATTCAATATGTACTGTGCTTTTCATTGTTTAATATTATTTCTTGAACAATTAATGCAATCTTGAGATAGTTTTGTACACCTGACTCACACAATTTGTTACTCACTCATACATATCATTCACAATCTTCATATACTTACTGGGACCTTCTTTCTTGCTGTGTGCCCACCACAGAACATTTCAGGGTATGCTATCAATAAACCTTAATCTTAATGATTTAATTTAAACTACCCTATTAGATACAATCTGCATTTGACAACATAACATTCGCATGATTTATCAAATTTTCAGAATTATACTCATAAATATCTTATAATTGAACATAGTTATAAAACAAGTATTATTAGATTTCTTTATTAGTAATAGCAAAGAATATAGATGCCTGTAGAAGGATCTTTCACTGCCACTTTTTAGTCTCGTTGTGTCAAGCGTGTATACATTAATTAAATAGGTCCATTCATACTCTTTTCAGGAGCGTTTTGAACATTTTTGAAGTATAATAACCATGACCAAATCGCTCATTTGAAATATAGTTCTATGAGTCGATATTCTTGGGTAATAGGAATGTAAGTGCTATCAATGAATTCCTATAGCGTAATGAGTACAGGTAGACTAGAAATCCAGACATCACATTAATATTTGCTTTCATCGTTACTTACCTGCATATGTTACCTTTCACCGTTCTACCTTTCCAGAAAGTAACTTTATCCTATGTTAAATGTTATTTTATTATTTATATTTTATTGTATATATGTATTATATTTTATGTAAGATATAATAAGAATTATTATAAGAATATTAAGAATTATGTGTGTATATGTGTTTTAACATTAATTTTATATTTAAATTAACTGTAGAAAAATGAGACTTTTATTGATTCCTATTATATCTTACATAAAATATAAACTAGCAATAATGGAACTAATGTAAACCTTATAAAACTTCTAGTCATGCAGCAAGGGAAGCAATGTTCAATCACCTGAATTTTCACGACATCAAAGAGAGGTAAGATTAGGTACTAAGTTCACTAAATTTGGGTTTTAAATGTTAATCATCTTTAATTGCTACTATTTATTAAATAACAGTAATTTACTAATTATTAGTATTAATTAAACACAATTTTTAGCCATCCGGCAAGAGAAACAAATTATCGCCCGAAGTGATAAGATATCAACGTGAGGTAAGAACTAAGTTAACTTGAGTTTTAAAAGTTAATCATCTTTAATTATTACTATTAATTAAATAACAGTAATTTACTAGGTCATTATTAATAGATATTAGTAATTCACACTTATTTCCAGTGACACAATGTCTCTTTATGTATAATTTTTAATTTAATTAAAAATATGGAGTCAGAAAAATGGCTTTGAATATGTTTAAATGTCAAAATGTTTAGTTCCACTTATATATTATTTTTAGCAGGACCTTTTCAATTATAGAAAATTGTACAACCATATTCCACCATGAGTCTGCAAATCATTTTATAAAATTTGGTCTGCTTAACAACATTCTTCCATTCTTCCCTGTCAGATAGTTTCTTTGCCATTGTCTGATATTCACAAGATCTACTTAAATTAATGATTTAATTATTGTACTTATTAAATTTTTACCAAAAGATATCACTGTTCATATATGATATATGTCACATATCCGTTAATTGTAACAAATTACTATTGGTTAGTTTTTTCACATGTCACTGCAGTAGAGGTTATACAATATTTCATTAATTTTGACTATACACATGTATCTTTAAAGAAAATCACCAACAATCAAAGTAGGGAAGGGGAGTAGTTCATGTTGTGAAATTTATATAATATAATCCTTTATGCCAAACGGAGCCTTCTTAATACCCAAGAAAACTCTGGCAGTTTTCAGTCCTTGTAATCTTGTTGCCTGTACATTGGATATTACTATTGAAAGAGGATGGATTGTTGATGATTTGAAGTCCAAACTGGTGTGCTATAATATGTTGGTTTAATTCTTTATATAATCTTCCTTGGATAATTTTCTCAAAAAATTTTTGTATTAGTGGGAGAAGAGTGATTAAACAATAATTTTGAGGTAATTTGTGGTTAGTATAAGGTTTAGGAATAATTATTACAATACCTGTATTCCATTCGTCAGGGAAGAAATAATTTATAATACAATAGTCATATATGCTCCTTATTCCCTAATGAATAAGAAGTTCTAGTTGTCCAAGGATTTTACGGTTGATGGAAACTTTGCCGGAGCTGTGTTTTTCCCTTATGTAAAGCTTCTTCATATTCATTTTCTGTGATAAACTGAAGAGCATTTGGATTATGATTGTTCTCAACAAACCAATTATCCACCTCATCTAAGGTATCTCTATCAAAATTATTGTCCTTGCTAAATTCATAGGTTTTGCAAGGTACTTTACAAAACCATTACATTTTTCTGCATCCATATTATATGACTGACTGGCCATTATATACTAGTTCTGAAATTTTATGTCTAAATGATTTATATTTGGACAGTTTCTGATGTTATTTATCTATTTATGTTGCTTAAATTGTGATATAAGTTTGTGGATATCTTTGATTGGTTTGTTACATTGTGATTTTAATTAATATGCATCATTGATTTGAATCTGCCTGAGTAACTGTCTCTTTAGTTTAATTAGATAAAACATTAAGGGTGGTGAATTGTAATTGAAAGGTGATTTCTTTTTGTTTGAAAGGTTTAGGTGAGTTTTGTGTTTTCAATTTAGACATATGTTAAATTTTTGAATGGAGAAATGCATCTCTTGCATTTAAAAATTCCTTCATTCTACTGGATCAAGCTGTAGATTAAAATCAAATTGCAGAGCAGTTGATCACTGCCCAGATCTGGAGTTACAGGTACATTTGTGATATTTACTATATTTTAAAACATAGTAATATATCCGGAGTTCTGTGTGGGTTGCCTGCCAGGATAAACATAGGAGCTGTATACTCTTGATAATTCTTGATGTTATAAAAAAAGTTGTTTATAGTTTTGATTCATAATGTTTTTCATTTGTAGTGAGTAGTTGTGTGTGTGTGGTTAATTACGTTTTTTTAATGGTTTTGAATTTTGATGTTTTTTTGAGGTTGAGGTTTTTTTGGGAATTTGGTTTGGATTGGTTTATTGGGAATTTGGTTTGGATTGGTTTATTGGGAATTTGGTTTGGATTGGTTTATTGGGAATTTGGTTTGGATTGGTTTATTGGGATTTCAGAAGAATTTATATATATATATATATATATATATATATATATATTATATATATATATATTGTGTCTAACACCCTACATGGGGTTTATATATATATATATATATATATATATATATATATATATATATATATATATACTATATATATATATATATATATTGTGTCTAAACACCCTACATGGGGTTACGTCGCTTAAGCTCTCTGGATCTATGTTACGAGGTAGATCCGTCCTCATTTTCTTATTTAATTTTTCCTTTTATTTTTCTGATCCTGAGATCATTTTTTTTTCTTGTAGGCATGTAGATCTTGGTCTTCCATGTCTTCTTTTACCAGCTGGTGTCCATTCCAATATTGAAAATATTGTAGTAGATGGTCCTGATCTCCATATATGTCCTAGCCATTTTGTCCTTTGCTGTTTTATTTTACAAACTATATCTCCTTTAATTTCGTTTAGTAGTTTATGATTCGTTCTTTGTCTATATTGGTTTTCATTAATTTTTATTGGTCCTAATATTACTCTTAGTATTTTCCTTTCTAGTATTCTAAGATCTTCCTCTTGTTTTTTTGTCATACTAAGGGTTTCGGCAGCATACATTGTAACAACCTATATTGCTTACCTCAGGGTAAGTACATGGGAGTAGAAGATTGGGGACAGAAACTACTGGGGTAGAGATAGGGCAAACAAAATAATCAAAACTAGTGCATATGGCACTCAGGGGGTTGTTGGAGAGCTGGGTCGTGGATAAGTTGAAATAAATGGATCGGATTGGGGTATCTACAAAATGAAAACAAAGGTATGCTTACATAAATCTCCTGGGCAATTAATACAACAAAAAAAGAAGCTTCTAGCAATTTAAGATACGGGCGCCGCTTCGAAGGATCCTAGTTTGCTGAAGGAAAGAAAAAATTCTTATTTCCTAAAATCAAAAATACACACAAGGGTTAGGAGACTTTTCTAAATTAAAACACAAATGGACCAGAGAAACAAATCAAACGTTTATTATTTATTTTTTTTTTTTTTGTCTTAAACAAACAGTTATCAAAAATACAGATTACACAAGAAGCATACTATATAATATACAAAATTTACAACATCATAGTCGCTTGAATTATTGTTTTATATATCTTCATTTTCGATTTCTTGCTCAGTAATTTATTTTTTAGGAGTTTTTTATTTACATAGTATGTCTTATTTGCTGTAATTATCCTTTCTTTAATTTCTGTTTCCCTTTCTCCATTGTTTGTTAATAATATTCCCAAATACTTGAACTTTTCTACTTCTTCTAATATATATTCTCCCAGTCTAATCTTTTTGTTTTCATATTCCTTGTCAAATCTCTTTATTTTTGTTTTTTCTTGATTTATTACTAAGCCCATTACTTTCCTTTCTGCTACCAATTCTTTTAACATACTTTCCATTGTTTTTCTGTTCTTTGTTATTAACACAATATCGTCAGCATATGCTATTATTTGTACCTCTCTCTTTCTAAGTGTACCTTTGTTGATTTTTCTGGCTATATATTCCATGGCAATATTACACAGAGTTGCAGACAATGAATCTCCTTGACGCCTACACCTTTATTTATAACAAATTCTTCTGTATCTCCTTGTGTTTTTACAGTTACTACAGTTTTGCTCATTGTCATTTTTATTAATCATCTTAATTTGTTGTGTACTCTCATTTCTCTCATAGCTGTAAGTCATTTCACTCTGTTTATTGAATCAAATGCTTGTTGGAAGTCTATAAAAAGCAGTTCAATTTCTATTTTATATCCATAAGCTTTCTCCATAATTTGCTTTACTGTATGTATGGCATCTGTTGTTGACTTTCCCCTAATAAATCCGCATTGATACTGTCCCATGATATTTGTAGTTGCTTCGGCCAGTCTTCATTGTATTAAGGATGACATGATTTTATACACTGTGTTTAATAATGTGAGTCCTCTATAATTATTACACATTTGTTGGTCTCCTTTTTTATGGACTGTGATAATTTGTCCTTTGTACCATTCTTCTGGCATCTTTTCTTTGTCCCATATGACTTTTATTAATTGGTATATTTTTTCTCTGAGTTCATGTCCACCATATTTTATAAGTTCCATGTTTATACCGTCTATACCTGGTGCTTTACCGTTGCGACTACTGTTTATAATTTCCTCAACTTCATCTTTTTTTTTTGGTTTTTCTAGCTTGGTTTCTATCATCGTGGTCTCTTCTTCCACGTTTTCATTTAAGTCTTGGTCTTCTTGTACTGTTAATAATTCTTTAAAATAATCAGTCCAGATTCCTTTAAAGTCTTTGTGTCATTTTTCTGTCTTCTCGCTAATTTTCTTATAAAATGCTTTTGTGTTTTGTTTTTCTATTTCATTTATCTTATCATTTAACCAGGTTCGTTTAATTTTCCTTATTTGTTTCTTACATTCTATCCTTAATTTGTTGTATTCTTCTTTATATTCTTGTCTATTTGTTCTGATTCACTTTTGTCTTATTTCTATCCTCTTTTTTTACATGTTATGACAGTCTTGATGATACCATTCTTCTTTTTTGTTCTTTCTCTCGTATCCCTACATGTTCAAAAGCTGTTTCATTTATACATTTTTTGATATTTCTCCATTCTGTTTCATCATCCTCTGTATGTTTACAGTATTCCTTCAGTTTTTTGCTTATATCTTCTGCATATTTAATTCTTCTATCTGTAGCATTCAGTTTTTCTGTGTGCCATTTGTCATTTGTTGTCTTGTTTTTTAGCGTTCTTTTAACTTTTTGTCTTAACGTTGCGGTAACCATGAAATGGTCTGTGTCTGCATGTACACCTCTGTATGTTCTCACGTCTGTTATCGATGTTTTATTTCTCTTTGTGGTCAGTATATGATCTATTTGGGACCATGTTTTTTGGTCTAATGAGATCATGTTACTTTGTGGTATACAGTGTGTGCAAATTTTGTACTACTAACAATCATATTGGTGTTAGTTGCTAAGTTACATAATTTTTGACCATTATCATTTGTTTTTCATGTAATGTATATTTACCTGCAACTTGGTTAATGTAGTCTTCCTTGTCTCTCTGGGCTTTAAAATCTCCCATTACCAGAATTGTGTCTTCTTTGGGTAAAGATTCAATTTCTTGTTCTAGTTTCTCATAAATGTTATCTTTTTCCTCTGCTTCAGAGCACTTTCAGTTGGTGCATATATGTTTATGATGAATATATTAAATGGTTTGGCGTTAATTCTCAGGTAAGCCATGCGCTCATTTATTGGTTTAAATTGCATAATATTGTTTTGTATTTTCCCGTAGTTATAAATGCAACTCCTTATTGACCTTGTTTTTCATGCCCAGAGTAGTGCAATGTGTAATAATTATATTTCGAATTTGTTGTTGGGATAGTTGTGTACCTTTTTTTTTTGTTGTTGGACTTGCAAATGCGATTCCTTTTCAGTGTCCGTTGTCCTCTATTTCCATTTCTTCTTCCGATACCGAGCTTCCGCTGCTTTCGTAAAACATTTCAGCTCCTATTTGTATTTTTTATTACTATTTATATCTTTTTATTATCACTAATTAACATTAAATCTTTTTTAATTATTATTGTTAGGTAGTTATAGAGAGCGGGGCAATATCGTCTTTTCTCTATGGATATCAAATGATTACGGTAGCCTTTTCTGTCCGGGCCAAGATTCGAACCAATCTCTACTAGAACATTTCGACAGTGAACCGAATGCTACTGCATGCCCCGATTGGCTGTCTGACCCAGCTAGTTCTAAAATTTGAACAAAAATTAGACTTTTGTGTTTTTAAAGAAACAAAAAAAAATGTAGCCAAATCTTTCATACTACTACTAATTGCTGCATTTGAATTTAATAACAAATCACAATTGACTCCACATAAATAACTGTTGATGGCAACATAATCTGATATCTTAAAATCATAATTATATTATAATTTAATTGAAGTTTTTCTTACTAAAAAGTTCTATTTCAGAGCTTTATGGTGATGTTACTTACCAAAAAAAAAAACAGTTATCTGCCTTAGTTTCCAATAAATTACCTCAATTGTAAAAATTAATTTAATTATTAATTAATTATAAGCTTTGAACACTTAAAGTAGCACAACTACAACTTTAAACTTTATTAAATTTTTAGCAGCGCATGAGAAGGATGAACCTTTCATCAGCGGATCTTATAAGACATGAAAGAGAGGTAAGTCAAGTTAACTAAATTTGAGTTTTCAATTTGAATTTTAAATCAAATTTTCGAAGTGGGTATCGGCGTTTTGCTCAGTATCCACACGCAGGACGTCCTCGTTATCCACGTGCGTCTTTTGCATGGTAACTATATCAATCAGGTCATCAACTGGGTCTGTCAAGTCTTGTCTGGTGGTACTGCTACGAATCGTTTTGTTGCGCTACTCTGTCCCTGTGTATAGTAGTCAGATCTCGACAAGAGTATTACTTTCTAGTTTATTAATTTCACAATATACAGGTTTAATTCAAATACACATTAATAAACCAAGAGCTGTAACTATGATGGTTTTATAAATACTGCAATAACAATAGTTTTACAAAGTTTAAATAAAATATTTTCAGTTACAAAATTTAAGTAATTATGTTAATACAAAACATTTTTTCCAATAATTCAAAATATACAATAAGAAATTTAAATGACTTAAATCTGATTGGTCTAAATGTTTCAAAGTAATTGTTTTAGTTCAAATTTTCTATTAATTTTCTATTTGACTTCATATTAGTGGGCAACATATTAACAAGATCAGACTATTTGAGTATGAAAAGTACCTCTTTGCTTAGTATGATAGTGATGTACATCTTTGGTCAGTGTTAGGGCAATATTTGTAAATACTTAAGAAACCTTACATTCATGAATTAATACAAAAACTTGATAGTATACATTTATTCAATATTGACTATTTTTATTGGTCAGTACAGCTCTTCTGTTTGCCTTTTTCTGTAGTACTGTAAGAGGATGAAACTGTTTGTGACTAGTATTACCCCAAATGATGGCAAATTAGGCAGATCTGAGTTTATTAGAGAATAATACAGCATTTTATGATGAGGGAGACTTAAAATTTAGCAATTCTTCCTAGCATGCCTACTGCTGATAGCTATTTTATGACATATCGGTAGTATGTGTTGTTCCTAAGAAAGGGGTTTTTCTATATACCATATAAATTTGAATTTTCCAGTTGAACTGCATCTCCCTATGTTCATCTACATTTGAAATTATCATATAACTTCACTTATTCATATTAAGTGAAATTTTGTGATACGTAAGCCACCCATCTTTTTCCCCAAGTCCTTTTCTGCATCAGTTTCTTAGTTTCTGGGGTCTTTATTGCCATACAGAAGACCAGAGTCATCAGCATATGTATACAACATGGACTACAGCAGTAAATTGGATATTGAATTCGTAAAGTTAGGAAAAGTGTGACCCTTGAGTAACTCCACATGCAATATCTTCTGCTGTCCTTAGCACATTGTTTCATAGCACTTTTTGTATTCTGCCACTTAAACAGTCAATCAAAAAAATAAGGCCACTCCAATTATTCCATATTGTTAAAGCATTAAATTAAGTATGTCATGGTTCAACTGTATCAAAAGCTTTTTGCAAATCCAAATCCAATGATACAATTACACAATTTAATCCCCTGTCTAAATTACTGTATATTTATGTAATTAAGTCAGTAGCAGCAAAGACTGTGCTTAAATAATGTCTAAAACCATATTGCCTGTTAAACCAGTAGTTGTACGAATCAAAGAATTGTACAATTTGTTTATTTACTCATGATTCCAAGATCTCCGACATGGCTGTTAAAAGAGATATTTACTGGTCCATAATTTCCAGGCTGCTTTGAGTCCCCTCCTTTAGACAGTGGTACCACTATCGCCATTTTCATACAGTATTATGTTAGTATATATTTCACAGGCATTAATTTAGCGATAAGAGAGAGGTTATAGGTAATGGATTTTGGGAACAGCTATGACCTTGAAAATGCCACAAAGAATATAACTAAATATCTCTTTTCTTACTCAGACTCTTTAAAGTCTTTTACAATATTTTAGAATCGAAGATATGTAATTATATTATTAATGTATTGGATTTTGACAAGAGCTATGCATTATGCCTATTTAGTACACAAGTTTATGTGAAATGTTCAAGGTCATAGCTGTTCCCAAAATCCATTACATCTACCTAATTTAGTTATAAATAGAAACAGCTCCTCTACAAACTCTCTAATAATTTTTACACTAAAGCCATTACACCCTGGAGATTTACGTTTTTTAGTCTTATGACCTCTCTAATAGGGTTTTCAGAGACTTGTATTCAAATTATGTATTTTCCTGATCTATATTTACTGGAGGATTTGATATAGGGGGTATGTTATTTACTAGATATGTTCCTTCACATGCAAAGTATTGATAATTAAATCAGTGTGATCAGTTGATTATGATTTTGTCTCACAAGGAATTAGGTTTACTCCAGATTTCCCACAGGGTTTATTTGACTTTTAAAGTGCTCTCTGTTTATATTTATTGTCTTATATGGTCCATATCATATTGACCATATCATATTTCTTGGTGGACTTATGTGAATAGTTTACCAATGTTAACTTGGGTTTGGTGATCACCTAAACCCATTTATTGATCATCCACTATATTCAACTTAACATCATAAGTTAAGATGTTGGTTACTACGTAATCAATTCAAGTAGCTCAGTGGTGTGTAGTCTTTGTAGGAACACTTTTATTCAATATTGTAAAAGCATTGGAAGTGATTGTTTGACTTACTAATTTTTGTGGTAAACTCTCTTAAATCAGGACTATAAAGTTTCCAAATATCCAGTTTGGTATTGCTTTGCTCGTAAACATGTTTAAAGACATATCCACTACTTTCACAAGATCATTATGATGGAAATAATAAGGTCTTTATACTCCTCCCTCTATCAATCTATAAGAAAAATAGTAAACATTTTCCTGCAGACAATGATTAAAAATTTATTATAATTGTTTATAAGAAAAAAACTCGACATGTTTTTGCAAAATGATTTTGCATTTTTAAAATTGTTTTTCTTTATTTTTTTTTTTAATAATATTAATAGAATAAATCTTTCAGCAAATTACATTTTGCGAAAACTATTTAACCAATCTGTCCCATCTTTTGCACACAATTAAACTCTCACGTACAGGTACATTTAAAGAAATTTTAATAATGTTAAGAATATCAATAATGTTATAATGTTAAATGTTACAAAAAATCGACTGCAAGAAACATATATTATAGGTCTATAATACTACTCAAAACAACTAGTTTGCCTGACGAGTCAGTGTTACGAGAAAAATCTTATTTACCTGGACTATATAAGTCATGTTTCTTTCGCTATCAAAGACTTCCTCATAAAAAAAACTATCCGAACGACTTCGCAATAATTTTATAATCAAATTTAGTCCATATGATATTGTTACATACCTGTAATGTATCAACCTTTGATGTACACATGAATTTTAAATAAAAACATCCTTTCAATCCTTGTTTTAATCCAATCACGCTCGTTATATAATACGTTATTATGTAGTTGACTATTAATAGGTTGTTATTTTAAATTTAATAGTGATATATTTGTTTCAGGAATTTTTCAAACGCGTGAGAACAAGCCGCCGCAATAGTTTTAGTCTCTCTCGCAGTCTCGGCGATGAACCAAGCGTGGCCGGTTTAGAGACCGTTTTTGAAGATGATAACTCCGGCAATGAAGTAGAAAGTTCCCCTGGACGTATAGAGGACATGAGCTGTGATGACCTTGAACAACAATTAGCTGGAATGAACTTGACAGAGACACCACCTCACTTACAACTGGGTACCTCCAGCGAGACACAAAGATTTATTTCATTCTGCAAGATCTGTATGATTGAAACGACCGAAGGTGATATTTGTGTCACTTGCTTCAGATCATTCTCTTCACCATCACAGTAATGGTGACTTGGTTTCTACTGTAACCATTTTTAAATTTTTCTAAAAAAGTAAAAACCTAAAGTTTAAAATTAAAAAAAATGTATGTTTATTATATTTTGTTTGTATAGTTTTAGAAATGTAGTTTTAGTAACTGGTAATGTGATATTTCTGTAACTTGCTTCAGATCATTCTCTTCGCCATCACAGTAATGGTGACTTGGTTTCTACTGTAACCATTTTTAAATTTTCTAAAAAAAAAAGTCTTAAAAAAGTTGTAAAATGTATGTTTATTATATTTTGTTCCTATAGTTTTAGAAATGTAGTTTTAGAAACTGGCAATGGTAGGTAGCTAAAGTTTTGAGATTTCGTTTCTCCTTAAAACATTTTCTAAAGTACTTAAGTTTAAAAGAGATTTCTTAAAGTTGTGTCTATCTGTTTTGGTTCATTTATAGTTTTAAAAGTTTAAAAACTTGCCAAAAGAAATATTATTGAGACATAATTTGTTCTGTAACTATTACTCATAGCAGCTACGATAGACCTTTGTGATACAGAAAAGTACTGATACTATTGACATATAACGAAGTTACTACGAATCTGAAATATTACTGCTTTACTTCTGTTCAGTTACTTCTGAATAACCTAGAATGTCATCAATGTGATAATACAGCATTTTAATGACAAATCAATTTTACAATATGTGTTGAATAACACAAGATAATCTCTTCGAAATATAGGTAATAATCTTTAAAGTTTCATTTATTATTATTTTTTTTAATAAAGTCATAGTCATCAACAGAAAAGAGGTATTGTTTCAGGTTGCATTTTTCTATCTGTTTCATGTTTAGTAGTTACTGGAACTTAAAGTGCTTGTAATATTTCAATATTCGGTTAGTGTAAAACTTTTACTGAAAACAATTCAGAACATTGTTAAAGTATTAACTGCCAGTTTTATTTTACCTACTGTACCTGTACTACAGTTATCCATTTTATTTATTTGAGTTAGCTATTTTATTAGTTTAGTTAAGTAAATACCACACACATTTGATAAAAGTACATGAACTGAACTTTTGATACACTTGTTAACTAATTGCATTAGACACCACTATTTTTTCAGTCTACAGATATTTCTTGGGTTCTCATATTTTTTCTGCAAATAAGAGTCGCTAAAAGTGAAATCACTTTGGTTTGTTAACTTTTAAATGCATTGCAAGCTTTCATTTTATTAAACAAATTATCCGAAAATAGGAAACTCATTCCTTGTTTACTCTGTCGTATTTATTTTCCATTTTATGTGATACATTGTATGTCTATGTTTAAAATGTAAGGAGTGTTGATACATTGCTTTACATGCTAATAGGTACTGATCTAACCAGGCGATTCCGTCCTACATTGTATATGCCTTTAATAATGTTTGCGGTTATATAAGCCTGGAAAGCAATGTTTCATTTTAAAACATCGACACACTTTGAAAATTGTAAATTGTAAAGTTAACTTTTGTTTAATTTTTCTAGTCATTTCTACATTGATCATAAACCATTCTTTCTGACTCTGCAGTATTTATTTTACATTGTATGTGATACATTGTATGTCTATATTTACAGTTTAAGGAGTAATGATACATTGCTTTACATGCTTATAGGTACTGATCTAACCAGGTAATTCCGTCGTACGTTGTATATGCCCTTAAAAATGTTTGCGGTTATATAAGCCTGGAAAGCAATGTTTCGTTCTAAAATATGGACTCTTTGAAAATTGTAAATTTTAAAGGTAAATTTTCTAGTCATTTATACATTGATCGTCAACGATTTCTTTAAATGTATCTTGGGTTCTTATATTTTTTCTGCAAATATGAGCCGATAAAAGTGGAAGCACTTTGGTTTGTTAATTTTTAAATGAATTGCTAGCTTTCACTTTATTAAACAAATTATCCGAAAATAGGAAACTCATTTCTTGTTTACTCTGTCGTATTTATTTTCCATTGTATGTGATACATTGTATGTCTATGTTTAAAGTGTAACAAGTGTTGATACATTGTTTTACATGCTTATAGGTACTGATATAACCAGGCAATTCCGTCCTCGTTGTATATGCCTTTAATAATGTTTGTGGTTATATAAGCCTGGAAAGCAATGTTTCGTTCTAAAACATCGACACTCTTTGAAAATTGTAAATTGTAAAGTTAACTTTTTTTAATTTTTCTAGTCATTTCTACATTGATCATCAACCATTTCAATTTAAAAACAAATGGCTAGCTTCCACTTTAATAAACAAATTATCCGCAAAATAAGAAACTTATTAAATTTGTAAATTACGAAAATTGCTTTAAAAAATGTAGTGTGGTCAGTGCTATTTCAATGGCTGTCAAAGATTGTAGATTTTGTAAAAAAAAAATAAAACTGTTTTGTATTTTTGTAATTTTGTTGTTTTATTTCTATTAAATTCTGAAAGGTAAAAAAAACATATGGAATGAATGGAAACCTGTTCAGAAGCTAACAAAAACAAAGATGAAACGTGTTACATATGAGATGGAAACAACGACGATTAAGGCTGTTTTATCGGTGCACCAAAACTTAGTGACTGTTATTTACCGACAAAATGTCTCGAAATTTGGACACAATATTCGAAATTATGTTGCTTTTAAAATGATGGTTTTATTTTTTTGAAACTTCTGTTGAAAAATTGGATTATACGGTTTAACTTTCTATTATAACCCAACTTTTTACGCCCATCACTTGAAAGAGTTTTTTTTTCTGTAATCGTTGATTTTTTTGACCTTTCTGTGTCCAGTAATAATCGAGAAAAGCGTGTTCCAACTTTTAAGAAAATTGCTAAAAAATACTGAAATCTAATAGTAAAACGTGTTACTCATCATTGTCGTTTATTTTCACCGTTATCGCCTTCGTGACGTCAAATCTCATGAACGTACGGTCCGTTAGTTCGTGTTAAAACTAATTTGAATGGAGAGTAATGCATTTGTTATTTAAATTAGCCGTCGGCTGCGCCACTGAGTAAAGATAGTCTCGCGTAAGCAGTGTAGAAAAGTAAGTGATATGCCCATTTCAAATCACAATGTGCTTGAACTGCTAAAACAGCCTTAATACGAAATGTGCCTACTGAAATTTGAAAGAAAAATAATGAGAACGATACTAGGCCCCAACTACGTACCGATAACAAGAGAGGAAGAATGAAACCAAATACTGAAATTGATGAACGATTATAGGGAGAAAATATAGTCAGATACATAAAATCTCTTCTCTTAGAATAGATACTGCTTATACAGAGACGCCCACACTTGTTGGACATGCTGAGAAGGAAAGTAACGGGATTTCCTGATAAACTGATATCAAATGGTGGAATTGTTGTGATCTACTTGCTGCATAAATAAGACAGTAGCATTAGATTCAAACTATGTAGGAATGGGAGACCAAGACAAAGTAAAACGTTGGATAAAACTACAAAAGAAAGAATTGAAGTGAAGCGACTTAAATAGTGAAGTCATATCGACTATAACGGGCGAAATCGACAAAGCTGACGTTCTTATATCATACCGAAGAAAAATTCGCTCCAATAATGAACACCGAGAATGATATTTCATGCAGTGTGTGGTGAAAGAAAAGTCCTAAGTAAGATATTTGAACGTATTAAGAAAACGGAGTATGCACATCCAGGTATACAACCATGAACTTTACCAACTGTTCCAACAAGAGGCACCGATCTCACTTTAGAGACTTCGATGGGCTGGTCATATAGTGAGAATGGAGACTGAAAGATTGCCACAAAGAGCCCTAGATAGTAAAATGCAGGGCGCAAGACAAAAAGAAAGGTCACGGAAAAGGTGGGTGAATGAAGTGGTAGCGGACGCGCAAAATTTGCTAGACGTGAGATCCGGAGAAGATCGGCGCGTGACCAGCAGCGTTGGAGGAGGCCAAGACTCGATTTGGGCTGTAGCGCCATTGGAGAGAGTATATGGTACTTATAAATTCTTGGTCAGAGTACAGACAAGATTGCCAATTAATTGATCGCTTAGCGAAAAAACAACTAAGTAGAGTGCTCTTCGGAATGGTGGTAGGGGAAGTGCTCTTCAAGCAAGGCAAGACAATTCCAGGAAGAATGGGGGAAGCCCTCAAAAGATGAGGTTTCTGTTCAACTAAAACAGGACTGAATGTATAGTTAGACAATGTACCTATAGCATAAGCTCACACTGAGATGTCGTTCCTGTGCGATGCAAGGGCAAATTCATATTGCGAAAAGACCTTATTACATGATTTACTACGGGAGATTTACAACAAAAAATTTTCAATCAATCAATCAATTATCAAATTTTATTGTTGATTAATTTTTTTTTTTTTTTAATAAATACATTTATCGTATATATACGATATATACATTTTACATTGTCTTCAATTAATTTTTACAATAATTTCTTATTCACTCAAGATCATTCAAATCACTCATACTTTTAGAAATTTCAAGATTTCCTAACAGGATAACAGAAACGCGTGAAGATCGTCCAATTCTGAGGGCCGATAAAGCAACCAGCAACCGACAGTGTTGCCGATCTCAAAAAATATTTATAGTTTGTAACCAAAACATTTTATCAGAATTAGAAAGTAATAAAAATTTGCTATAATAAATAATAGTACGGGCTACTCATTAATATAATTTTTTAATAAATATCTTTTGCGTGGAATTAATTTGTTAACAAAGTTCAAAGTTTAATGCACGCTGGGAGGTCAGAGGTAAACAAATATATGCTTGGCAACAATGCAGACATTCTAGCGTAACTTGGTCGATGTGTTAGCAGGTGGAGCTAGTAGGAAACATTTATTGAATTATTTTAATATAACGAATAAAGTTATTTATAATATAGTTACTACATTAATATAAAGTAGCATTATTATTGTACTAATATTTTTAAATAAACCACTTCTAGTTTTAAATTTTCTTAAAAATTTGAATAGTTAATAATGAAGTCCAGCTATCAATTCGAGAGCAATGAGGGAGCTATGGGATGTTGGCACCTCATTGATCGAATTTCGTAAAAATAATTATACCGTCTGAATGGTCACGTTTTGGTCACAAATGGTCAGTTGGTTTCAGCTTTTGGTCAGTTCTGGTTAATTTTTTATTAAGGGTTGAAAATTTTCAAGGACAAAAAAAGATGTTGGCACCTCATTGAATGAAATCTATAAAAAAAATGACTGCATTCGATAGAGATTAAAACGCTGACAAATGGTCAGATATATTGAGAGTTTGGTCAGGTTGTTTTAGGGGTGAAAATAATTAATAAAGTTGCAATCACCTTAGCACGCAAGCGCAGTCCATTAAAAATTTTAAAAATACCAGGATTGCAGTACCTTGCCGCAATAAACATTTTAAAAATACTAGGAGAACAGTAGATTCCCGCGTTTTCCTAGTTCACTATGTTACAGCTAGTATTTCTGAAATATAATTATACCACCTGAAAGATCACAAATTAATCTCCAATGGTCAGATATTTCCAGAAATTGGTCAGTTCTAAGTAGTTTTTTATTAATTATTGAAAATTTTTCAAGGACAGTCTGATATTGGCTTCTCATCCAAATAGTAAAATTTTTACAAGACACCAAGTCGTGCAGTGTTGCGCGATTTAAAATAAGTGAGGAATTGTAAGTTTTCATCCAGAAATATTCTTTAGATTCTAATCACAGCAAGCGGTTATAGTAAAATTCGTTGATATCTCGACAGTGTAACAGTTGTTAGTGATAATACAAATTGTAATATATTTCTTTGTTTTGGATATTGGACGAGATTAATACTAATATATTCCAACGGGAATAACTTGGCTGATAGGTTTGGCAAATACGCATGCTAACTCACATGTTCTCAAATTTACACCGTTGTCGCGTCTAAAAGATAGTTTTTTTACCTCTCATTTTTTTTTGTAAAATATCAAATTTATGATTCTTAAATCCGATTTTTATGCAATCATTTTATTTATTCTTTTATTAGAAAAATGTAAAAAATATTACTCAGACGCACAATTTCACAACAGTTGTAATTAAGAAAATTACGAAGAGTTACTCAAGATCCTTGAAATCAAGTGTCCTGCGAGATACTATGTTCTGATTCAAGTGTTCTGCGACTGTTTTCAACTTGGAATTTCAGTTGAAAATTCACATTAGCTAAGGTCTCCCTAGATTCTCTTACGTTAGGTTGTGCAGTTGTGATCCATATCATAACAGGCGTGTCTTAAGCCGGAATCAGATAGCTCGTGGAATGATGCTCTTCGCTTCGGCAAAGAGAAACAAAAAATCGATATTAGCGATCAGAAAAGAGACAACGGTTGGCACCCACGTTACTGTGAAATTAGTAAATATTTACTTTTTGGTAAATGCAATCGACATATCCTAAACAGTAGTCCATTCCAGTAGTCCAGTAGTAGGACCATTCCGATGATCGTTATCGAGGATTAACTCTGTTGTACGCCATCAGTGTTGGTATTAATTACTATTTAACTGGGAAAAAGCCACAATTAAAGGTAAAAATATACGTATTTTTACCTTTAATTGTGGCTTATTCCCAGTTAAATAGTAATTAATTTAAAATGCCACAAGAAAATAGCTTCAGAACAATATCAGTGTTAGTGGTAAAAATTTGATTCTTTTTCTTTTTTATATATAGACATGACTCTGTCTGTTTTTCAATGTGCCTCCAGTAAGTTGTCATTCCATCGTTTTCGTGGTCTTCCTACTGATCGTCTTCCTATTGGAGAACCGTCTCTTGTCGTCTTTACTACTCTATTTGTTGTCATTCGGCTTATATGATCGTTAAAGTATACTCTTCTATTTTTTACCCAGCTTTTTATGTTCTCCACCTTGCACCTTTGTAGTATATCTTTACTTCTAGTTCTGTCCCATAGTGTCTTACCATTAATTTTTTAAGTGTTTTCATCTCTGCTGTTTCTATCATCCTTTTTGTCCTCTCTGAAAAATTTTATCAACTTCGTTGGACCACTCTATGGTAAAATTATGTCGGCAATAACCGTACCTCTCCTAACTGCCTCCCTAGGTTTGGTAATGTGGTGCCGCAGCTTCAGATTTTTTTAAACTGGATCGATTTAACGATAAACAACGGTATAGCATCCGCCAGCAATAAATAGACAGTTTTGCCCTATCACTGGGTTCATAAACCACAAATATTGAGAAAAAATACGGTACTCTATGTTCTGTTGGTTCTCTTCTTTATATTTTGTCTTTTTCTATTACGTATTTTCTATTTCTCTTTGCTGATGGAGAACGCCACTTCACGTTTTGTGAGACCGCTCCTTTACAGAAGTCTGCTTGAAACTTTTAAATTTGTAACACTGGAACAGAGACGGAGAATGCAGGTATGTAATGCT